CAGAAAAAATTTATTGAGGACTAAAAAAATCAAGTCTCGCACATACTTTGGATATGCATTCAATATTCAATTCAAATAGTCTTGGTATTTTCGAGATTACCCAGCGGGGAGCGCTTGTACCGCGACAGTTGTTGCTGCCAGGGTCAACCCTGCGTTGCGCAAATTCCAAATTTTTTGCGACCCCCTCCATTTCAAGGGGTGTCAGTGCGACCCCCCCCTATTGGACATGTGTGTTTTTTAGTGTTACGGTGTATTTCTGTGTGTATCAACGTCTTTGTCCAATAAAGTTGAAGTGTGTACATGGCTTCTTCTCTTTATTCCTGAAGAAATCCCGAAAATAACACAATATTTTCTTCACACGCCATATTTTATCCTCCATTTCATGGAGGAAATCGAAAAACTTCCGAATTTTCGAACGAAAGAGATCATTGTTTCATTTAAAGCTCGATCATGGGTAGGTTGGAGTTCGAATCAGGCAGAAGTGAGGCTTGGTTTTCATTTTCTCGATCCCTCGAGTCTTGGTTCCCGTTTTCTCGATCCCTCGAATATCTCCTCTTCATATACATCTGAAAGGAAATGATAAGCGATGGTCAAGGGAAAAGAAAGTCGCCAAGAACAATAGCGAGCAAATAGGAAATATTGCTTAACGGAAGTCCCGTTAAGCAATATTTCCTATTTGCCACAGTGCCCCGACATCGCATGCCCTCCCCGCGGCTGAGGGCTCCTAAGGTTCCTCTCCCCCCTCTGGCTTACCCTTAGGAGCCTTCAGCTCCCCACACCCCTAGCGATAAAGCAGGAAAGAATGAAAGAACGATAAAAAATGGAACCATAAAATGACATCGGAAAAGCATGGAATGAATTTTGAACCCAGGAATTCGCGCCCTTAGCGGAGCACTAGGTGGCGTGGAGCGCGTATTTCTACTTGTGCGAGACGGGGAATCAAGACAAAATGAAATATTAATGCTTTAGTTTTAGTAATTCAGACAATTTTCTATAATAACACACTACTACTAGTTTCCAGAGGTCGCTAATTCAGTATTGCCCGAGATTCCCGCGGACTTCCAACCCTCCTTTTTGTATAAGCCGGAAAACTGGATATGCAGTAGTAATTTACGTCCTTATTTGAAAACTTATATCTTCGTTCGTCGGCGCTCTCATGGAACCGGACACCAAAATTTTAAAAATTCAAATAGTTTTCTTTCAAAAAAGCATTTGAAATGTTGCGGATGTTCAATATTTCAAAAAATCGTCCCGTTGTTCCGTTTTTTGTGCACACGCGAGTTTTCGACATTCAAACATTCATAACTTTCTTCATAATCAACTTTTTGCAAATGTCTAAGGCTAATTAGAAACTAGAAGATTAGCGCTTTCAAACAAGCACCTGAAAATTTTCCAGCGATCATTCTTTCAAAAAATAGTCCCGTTGTTCCGTTTTTGGGGGGTTTGGGGTCCGATTTTTGAGAAGGCGCGAGTTTTCGACATTCAAACGTTATAACTTTCTTCATACTCAACTTTTTGCAGATGTCTAAGGCTAATTAGAAACTAGAAGATTAGAGCTTTCGAATAAGGCTAAAACTTTTTGAAAAATCACTCGTTCAAAAAATAGTCCCGTCGTTCCGTTTTTTTTCATAGACTTTTTTTCAAGCCTTTCTTCTGAACCGCGACATTGCAATATTCAAGAACCCATAACTTCCTTCAAACTTCATAAAATGAGAAGCGGTAAAGACCGTTAGAATCTACGCGAAGAGTTTTATTACTAGTTAACTTTTCATGGAATTCTTTCTTCTGCTTCAATTTTATAAGGGGTCTTTGAAATTCAATTCAGCAAGTTCGCTACACTTTGTTCCGCTTAGATTTGATTTGAAAGCATCAAAATTCTTCAGGAAAGTTTGTCTGCTTACGGCCGCTGACAGAGAAGGCGTTTTTATGGGAAAACGCCTGCTCGGGTATACGCCGTGCACCTGTCTGTGGGTGAAGTCGCACTCGCATTTGAAGGTCCTCCACTTTCCCGAAGAAGGTGATAGTACATGATCGAATTGCATTGTATGTTTTGCGGTACCATTGTGTGTTTTATGGTTTGATGGTTGTTTTACTTTCCCATGAACTGCTCTACACTTTGTCTCCTTGAGACTTCAGGAATGTTTCGAAAGTGCGGTCCGTGTATTAAGGATAGTGATGGCTGATGGTGAGACTTATAATGCTGCATGCTCTAATGCTCCCATGGAGCTCTTGTCTGTGTGACTCTCCGACAGCTGCACGGTGCAGAGCTCCTAGGAGAACATTAGAGCGTGAAAGTGCACACTGCACTTTTCGAGCCCGCAATTCCAGCCACTGCTATTCTAATTCCACCTCTCTCAGACTAAACGCTATTTCGCATCTGCACAAGAAAAAGATAAAGGCGGCGCTTTGAGATGCCCCTTTATAAGCGCTGCGCCCGTTTACGACGCTCTGCATTCTCTCAAGTTTTCTTTGAGCTGTTTTCTCTCTCTGCCTCTCCAATAGCTATACACCCGACTGCTCACGACCTCGTTTCAGATCCACGTCTTATCACAAATGGAAATGTCCGAATGGGCCGCCATCCTTTTCTGTGGGCTCTGTCACAAGTTTCTGTTGCTGACGACTGCCATCCTATTTTTAACGAAATATCTACCCTTGCGTTTTCCACGAGTGATACAACTCAGTATGTGGAGCTCTTTCTGAGTGAGGGATGCAAGGATAGAGACAAAGCTAAAAATCTGAACTTCGATATGTACGGAATGCTTGTCCTTGAAACAAGGTCATTCGTGGTGAGCCTTTCAATAATTTACTCAAAAGTTGCATCAAATCATGATCGTGCAATTAAGCTTGGGAATTCCAACAACTTTACCGTGACGACATTTGTGGATTTCAGTAACTGGCGCGGCCGCGACCGCACAGAGAACAGTTGCAGCACTTTTTTGTCGTCGGCAGTTCAAAGGACGGAAGTTTGCTTATTGATTTTCGGTTTTATGACATCACTCAGAGGGCAGCCAAGTGCTCACGTTTCGTAAACTGGCCATATTGCAATAGACCAGCAGTGAAACCTCACGCGGAGAGCATTTCACGCTTCTTTGAAGTGGAGCGCCCGAAGTCGCACAGATGCATCTTTCCAGACTATCTTTCTTTTGCTTCAGTTCAACACCAACGATGACCCTCCAGAATCCATCCTTTTCGCCGAGAAGTGAAGTTATGTTCAAGCAACAGAAGCTGGCCGTATATTTTATTCTGATGAGCGAAAGCGATCAGTCGACCACCCTGCTGTCACGGTGTGCGGCGGGTCGCATCCGCTCTCCTGGGTCGTCCATTCGGAGCGCTGATATTCCCTTCCTTTCTGGGAGCTCCGATATTTCTGAGCTGAAGTCTGATATTCTCGTTCTGTGAGACTGCTCCTGATTCCATCGTCCGACAACCACCATCACAGCTTGCGAGTACCGAAGTGGCAGGGTACGTATTCGAAGTGTGTTGCCACCCGGACAGGTCATGTTTATTGATTCTTTTTCATCGCGACGTGGTCTCTGTTTTCGTTGACTTTTTTTCCTGTTTTGCTTCTTGTGGCGGGGAGCTCGTTCTATTCTTTGTTATTAGCCACCATCCTAGGTGTGATATAACTTCTTAGCATGATTAGCGAGACACCTGTTCTGCCTGTGAAAATTCAGGAAGGCCATAAGAGGAAAAGGCGTTTGGATCTCGATTCGTCCATTCTTGATTTCGTGGAGGCGCAAATGAGCTCACCAAGCGACGGATATTCTCTTATATGATACGACCAGGATGCTTGTTCCTTATCATGGAGAGTAGGCGCGAGATTGATTCAATGTCAAGACAAATCAAGGCATTGAAAGATGAGATACCGTCCTCCGAAAACTCTTGATAGCCTCAGATTACCTTCATCTAGTGTTACAGTTTCGTCTCAGGATCCTGTTTCCTTGAACAGCGATAGGGTTAGCCAATCGTTTGAAGAGATAGAGCGTAAAAGATCTGTTGTAATCATAGGTGTTCCGGAAAACCGTAGTCATAGAAGTCATCATCGTGTATCTCATGATCGTCGTTATGTGTTCATCAACTCTTTGATTATCTGGCTATTGATTGTACACCCACTGCGATTTATAGGATGGGGCGTCCAAGCCTAACATATAACAGACTGTTGAAGGTAGTGCTTCCAAATTCTTTCTTTGCAAGATTGCTCTTAAGGTGCGCGCCTCAATTGAAGCACTTTCCGCTTAAAAAAGGCGTTTTTATACGGCCCTCCCTAACAAAAGGGGAGCGTGAGCGAATTCGTGCTGAGAGAAAGGCGGAGCACAGCAAACATATAGTAGTAAAGATGTCGATGGTAATAGCAATAGTGTTGCTTCTGCAAATAATGAACTCTGATGTCATCTCGTGTTGTAAGCAGTGATAACGCTTCCATGAATGTTTCTTCGAACACTTTCCACTCTGCAACAAAGTCAAACATGTAGCATTCCTCGGATCTGTAATGCTCGTCTAAAGTGTCTTCTTGCAAACATCCGCTCAATAACTAGGAATGCTGGTGAACTTCCTATATCGGATTAGGAATGAGAGCTTCGTGGTGGTGGCTCTCACGGAGACATGGTTGTCTGACGTCGTCAGTAATGAGTCAATTTTTGGAGAATACTGTGGCCAGTATGAAATACTTCGATGCGACAGATGCGGTAGGAGCGGTAGGCGGGGTAGCATTAATCGGATAAGAAGATTTTCACCCACGTATATTATTTAGGAGTCGGTAGAGAATCGTATGAGCTTTTGTGTGCGGACTTTGATATAGCTGATTCGAAGACCAGAATAGTCCTAGTATATAGGGCGCCTTCATGTTCAGCAGCCATGTTTGATCAACTTTTGAAAGCAATTGGAGATTTATTTGAAAGCATAGCTACCTTCCTTGTGCTCGGCGATTTCAATCCGTGCGGTTTCCTGCTTGGGGAAATTAGTCCCAAAGCAAATGGGTCGCGGGCTTGTCGTTTTTGGATATGTGCCTGAGTCTAAACCTCCACCAATTAGTTGAAAGCTGCACCCATGGCCCTAATACTTTGGATTTGCTCCTGACCAACAATTTGGGGCTTGTTAGGAATGCAAAGGTCCTGGCACCTATTGGCAGGAGTGATCATGCATCTGTCTTATTTGAGCTCAACATCGAGGTTGATGTCAGCACCAGTACAGTATTCCGAAGAAATTTCAGAGATGCGAATTTTGATAATATTTCTGGATTACCTCTACAGTGTTGACTGGTACGGGTTTTTGAATAAACACAGTACATAAAACGAAAAATATGAGTTAGTTACTATCGATTCTTCATCATTCTATTGAGTTGTTTGTACCGCTCAAACCTCATAATGTCCCGAGATCCAGCTGCCTCAGCATTTGATTAGGTGCAACCGTAGAAAGAACTTAGCATGGGATAAGGCTGTGGCTAGTGGTGACCCGAATGACTGGGAGGATTACCGCAAATTGAGAGCTGTATTCGAGAAACGGTTGAAAAAGTTTTATAGCCAACTTGAAAGGAAGATTATCTATACTGGAAACAGGAATTCCTTTTACAGGTTTCTTAACCTTAGGCTTAGGAAAAGTAAGGGCCTTAGTGTTCTTTTGACTGATGATGGTAGAAGTATATGCAAAGACGAGGACAAAGCTGAGCTGTTGGCTAGTATATTTGACAAAGCTTATCAAAAGGTGGAGGTTACTCAGATTCCATGGTTAGCCCCGTGTTCCCTATGATGAGTGATTCGCTGTGGTTTCACAGCGAAGAACTACTCAAATTGTTAGCCCAGTGGCCCAAATCTCGGTCTGATACACCGGATCACATTCCGCTGGAATTCATCAAAAAGATAGCCCATATTATCGCAGGACCCCTCGCGTTTATCTTCAATTTGAGCTTTATGAGAGCTGAAGTGCCTGACAGGTGGCCACTTCATTCGTTACCCCAATCCCAAAAAAAGCTCCGCATTCTTGCCCAACTAATTATAGACCAGTAAGCATCACCTCTGTTTTCGCTAGATTGTTTGAAAAAGTTTTAAAGAAAAGAATTATGACACATTTGGATAAATATGAGATCATTTCTGAGTACCAGCATGGCTTCCAAAAGGGCAAGTCAACGGTGACTGCCATGCTGCAAGCACTCAATGACTGGACAGGTTCCCTTGATAACGGCGTGGGGACGGATGTGGTTTATTTGGACTTTGAGAAGGCGTTCGACAGAGTGTCTCACCAGAAACTCCTGGCTAAACTTACCCTCGTCGGTATTCATCCCAGAATTGTGGCATGCATTAAGTCCTTTCTCACTGGTAGAGTTCAATTAGTGAGAGTCAATGCTGTGTTCTCCAAACCCAGGCTAGTGCCCAGTGGAGTGTACCACAAGGCGGCGTTCTGTCACCAGTGCTCTTTAATATATACACGTTTGAGTTGCCACGTCTGTTCATTTCAAGGGGAGTAAAGTGTGTTGCTTTTGCTGATGACTTCAAACTGTATTGCCCTATTTCATCTAGTTCTGATGAAGAGCTGTTGCAAGAGGCCATCAATGATGCTACCACGTGGGCCAAACAGTGGGGTTTACCCTTATCCGAAGAAAAAACTAAAGTTTTACGCTTAGGTAGATTCACTCTGCGAGCCTTCGTACTCAATTAGTGGGGTACAGCTCAAAACAGTGAAGGAAATCAGAGACCTAGGGTTCTTGATTCGAAGTGATCTCAGCTTTGATGAACACTGTTCGCAAATTGCACACAAAGCAACGGTGCTATTGTACAACTTGTTTAGGTCTTTCGTAACGAAAGATCCTAAGGCACTCTGTAAGGCCTACAAAACGTACATCAGGCCTATTCTAGAGTACGGGACTGCGGTATATTACCCACATAAAATAAAAAGCATCAAGGTATTAGAAAGAGTGCAGAACACGTTTACAAGAAAAGTTTTTCTGAGGGCCGTAGGTTTTAGGTATGATCAAATACCGAACTGTGAAGCACGTAATGTCAATCTCGATCTTGAGCCTTTAGATTTCAGAAGGAAAAAGTTTGATCTTATAATGCTTTTCAAGATTATTCACTATCGTTGTGCGCTTCGACATGATAATCTATTTCTAGTTAGAGAATCAATCACTAGGGGTGGGCCTATGAAGCTAGTCGCATGCCGAGCAAAGCGTAATGTCAGACGGCATTTCTTCGTGAATAGGACCATCATGGAGTTCAACAGACTGGTCCGTTTGGGAGTATCCACCTCCAAACTTAGTTCCTTCAAAGCCGCTTTAGACAAGTATCTCAATAAGTATCTCAAAACTTAATTCATCATTCCTCATGTCATTTCTCTCAAGTTGCATTGCTTATGTTTGTATGTTGTCTCGTGTGTGTTTGATTTTTGATATGTGTTTTTGAGGACTCCCATTTTTTATATGTTTTTCTTACCACACAGGTAAACCTGTGTAATAAACAATTACAACAAAGAAAGAGCCTTTTGATTGCGGATCAACGATGGCTTTCGACCAGGATTGAAAGCTTCGTAGTTTTTGCTCACACGGAAGATGTCGTCAAAGCTCCCTCGACAAGCGCTCTCCACACTGCTCCCGGGCGGCATTTTGCAAGCGCTTCACGTTCTTTCCCTCAACTGTGTTGGTGAGCGCACATCAGCCTCCTTCTGCCCGCTCTTATTGGGCTCATTAGAGCACCATCCCCAGGTCAAAATAATTACTGTGAGGGCGAAAACTTCGGAAGTCGTTTGCCCACATTAGACATGCTTCTTACAACGACTCAGCCAGTTACGCCGGAACAATCCACTATGGACTCAGCTTCATGTAATGTGGCAAGTGAAGAGTTTTTTTATTTCCCTGAAAGTAACGCAGAGTCGGTGCTTCAGAAGGAAACATGCGGAAGGATCGGACGATGTTGCTGCGATCACGTTCGCGCTTTGAATCCCAGCATTGCTTCGTTAAATGGAAAAACTGGAAGTCGTCAAAAACCAACTTCGGTCAACGCTAGACGAGATGAGGAAGGACAACAGAATGGCCTCTGAAGCACTGCAATTTGAATCGAGGATGTAGAAAGAAGCTTCGGTATGTACAAAGCAAAAAAAGTCAGACAGATCTGAGGCTACGTCTTCGCCACCTCATCGTTGACGGGAGAAAGCTAACAGTGAAACAGATAACGGAATTAGCTAATTTGCCGTGGCTTTCTTACCACAGAGACCTGCTCCTGCTCCTGCTAGACCTCAGGCAGACTTCTTCCGCTGCTCGTTATGCAGCAGAGACACAGGCGTTAATAAATACAATCCTGAACCTGACTACGCTAAATGTGCATCATCTGCTGAGCAAAGCGACGCCGTCTTTCATAAGAATCTAATGGGAAAGAACGAGATAATGTGCGTGAATAGATTCGGAGGACGCGATTCGCAGAAGAGTGGCACAAGTGCTTTATTGCCAGAGTGAAACGCCACCTCCTGACGAGGGTCCACAAAGCTAACGAGATGGACTTCAGGAATTCTTTGCAAGGTGTTCACTCCGACCCGGACAGAGACGTAGAAGCAACCGTTACAGCTGCATTAGCTGCATATACTATTGCTAAAGAAGGAATGGCTCTCCAAAAACAATTACCTCTGCTGCTGATGTCTTTGCGAGCAGGAGCAGCACCCGCTTTCGCCCACTACAGCCCCAAATCAGTTCGAGAGATGGTGGCAACATTCGCACTGCACATGAAGTACGATATGCTCAAGTACGTGGTCAACTCAGACCTTCCATTCTCTTTGCTTGTTGACGGAACGTCAATGGACGGAAAGAAATGGATTGTCTTTCTCCTCAGAACGGTTTCTCCTCTGAACCGCCCTATCACATTCCATTTGACTCTGACTTTGATTCCATTTGACTTTGACTTTGACGCCGTCACATAATAAGCTGAATATAAAGTATCCAGAACCTGGTGATTGATTTGAAAAATCAGTTTTGAGATTTCTGAAGTCAACAGTGGAGGCCAGAATGAAGGTGCATCTCACAGACTTCGATCATCAAGAAACTCATCGCGAGACTGCAAAGAGATTTTGACAAGCTCCTCAAATTCTGGGAGGACATCGAAGATACTCACATGCATCTCAACAAGATCTATGAGCGACTTGGACTACAAACTATTCCACCCCTCCCCTCTAATCAGAAGTTACACCTGATCGCAGACTATCTCGGGAGCGAATCCTTTTTTGATCGATAACTCCTCACCTTTTCTTTATTTTCACCATGATATCAAACAAATGGACTGTGTACAATTGCAAGCTTATAATCTTTTTATTCACCTGTCATTCTCCTATGTAACGCTTATTGTACGACGTAATATGTCAACAATAAAAGCTAAGGTACAATTATAACAAATTATAACGTAAAACAAGACAGTTGAATTTCAATCGATACGCTGGAAATTGGTGACTTGCTAAGTTTGGCACCTATACCACCTTTTTTCATAATTAAGCTAGGTCTAAATAGAAGTGTGCTGAAGACAGAAAGATTTTTTCACGATGTAGTAATTCATGCAGGGAGATCGGTACGAAACAGCCAAGCCTGAAATATGATTACTATTGAGTTTATGGTAACTTCATGTCTTTTGGGACCATTCCTCCCAGCCTTTCACCCCCTGGTCCCTCTGTATGCGACCCCCCCCCCTTTCGTTCGGCCAAATGCGACCCCCTCGTTGTTCTTTGCGCAACGTAGGGTTGACCCGGGGGGGGGGGGGCAATAAAAAAAGACATTTTGTCTCCAGACTCAAATGGATTTAATCACACTTTGCTCAGCTCAAAGCGTGTGCTCCCAACTTAGAATTGAAGAGCGCATTTCATTTCATAAGAAAATCTTCATAGTGGCCATCTACGTGGACGGCATCAGAAAAGTTTGCCCCGGAAACATGGTGCTCTGGTCGAGCTCAATGGGTGTACCGTTACGACGGGTTCCGAAGGGCGGGTTCCGAGGGTTTGCATAGAGCTAATGTCCCTAGGAAACTATCCCACGTTGAATCGATCCAAGAAATTATGTAAGAGCTTCAGGCTGAAGCAGTTACTGTAGGCCTCCCTGAGCTCGACGACGGTGACAGATGACGTCATATTCTGAAGACGGTGAGGGTAGTGAAGGAGGGCCTGCGTGTACTTATAGAGGGACATTTAGGGAATATTTTGCTGAGGAACTTCCGTCAACGACGGCAATCTCTGCGAAGAAAAAAGGCCGAAGTGCGACGCCCCCCCCCCTCCTTGTATATACTTTACTCGGCGCTGCTCTGCAACTTTCTCCACCCAGATTCTGCTTATTACTAGTAATATTTGACTCTATCAGTCTCCTTTCTAGTTAGAAAAATTAGTTGAATGGCAGTAAACTTGCTTTGCATACATAATTGATGGAATTGTTGACAGTTGTTGGTAATGTCGTGGTGTTTTTGCTTATTGGTGTAATTTATCTCGATTGTTGCCATCGACATATAATGCACGTAGTTTTGTTTCTGTCAGCAGTGTGATTTCAAACTGTTTTGGAGCACACAAGCTTTTTCTGGCTTTTAAATCCTTATGCACGTAAAACGAGAATAGCAGCTCAGTTTTATAAATAGACAGGAAAACATGTTTGTCATCACTATGACAGACCGCTTGGTTGTGAAATGCTTGCAGCGTTGAATAGTGTAGTACTAGGAGACAAAATTATTCCACGGAAAAAAGCGGGTGTGTCGTTGACGGGCCGAAATCCATTTTTACGCTGTCGGACCGCATGCAAGTTCGCTATGGTAACATTTCAAAAATCTTTTTTTTTCGTGTGACCCCTGTCTAGCATTTCCTTTTTATGTGACTAGTACCCACATAGGAGAATGTCCGATTAAAGTTAGATAAAATAAACATCTAGATAATGTAAAGTTGGCCGAAATGCTAAGAGGTGCAAAATGGTGTGTTATTTATTTAGCTGCTTTGCTTAGAATGCCGAACACCACAGATCAAATGAAATTTGACTTTTCACTTCATCCTGCCATTTATCAAAGGATAGTTACTTTGAGCTGGGTCTGTCTGGTGTGCATAAATATATTTTTTGAGGTTTATACGGTAGAAGAGGGTGGAAGTGGTGTAGTGGCAAGGCGCGACTTTACAACTGCGAGCGGTCCGCGGGATCAAAATCCGGCCGTGTGGCGCCCGGCGCCGAAACAAGCCTCTCCATCCTCAGGGGTACGGATAATGGTACCAGACAGGGTGAAAATCGTGTCGAGGAAATAACCGCCTCTTTACGACCCCCCTCCAAAACATGGACTCTGATACGACCCCTTTTTGTCCTCTGCACATCCGGTTTCATATCAAAAAATGCTAGTTTCAGATGTGCGAGAGGGACGCAGCGCCACTGCCACGCAAATGCGGCTTGATCCAAATGCTAGATTCAATTCTGCTCAGATTAGGTCTCTTCTTTCCTTTAAAGACATTTAACCTTTGCCACATTGGCCGGAAAGTAGAACATTGAAGGAGGTACTGCCCCTACACAGTTGAACAGTCTCGCGCTCCAGTATAGCGGCGCTAACTACCCGCGATCGCGTCGCGCGCTGTGCCTAGAGCGCGCTAGTTGGAAAAATCGTCAAATGTACCCCCTATTTAAAGGACTATAACTTTCTTCATTGATAACCATTTCAAAAGTGAAGGCAGCTTTTGAATGCACAAGACTTCTAGTTTCTAAATTGTGCTGAGCGTTTTTCTAAGCACACCTATTCTCGAGAGTGGGAGACGTCGAGAAATTGTCGAGGAAATTGAAATTTACATGCGAGTTCCCACTCTTAGGAAGACAGTAGCTGTCTTCATTGGCAATGCTTTGGAAATCGAGGAAAGCGTTGTAAAGTAGAAGATTCACGCTTTCTAACAGGTGCTCCATTTGTTTCGAACGCTTTCTAGTTCGCGAGAAATCTGCGTCGAGGAAATGTCAAGGAAATTTTCGAAGCCACTCGAAAACTCTATTACTCCCTCGCCGTAGTAGGGAACTTCTTTGAACACCTTCAAAATACTTCTATACACGTCAGTTCGATGGAGTAAATTGAAAATGATGCACTTGGCGCGGATCCATTCCGTTCTTGTATGCGCCATGCAGTGACCCCACTCGGAGTCATTGGGAAGGTGTTTTGTCTTAGTGACGACTTGCTTAAGCACACCAAAAGATATTTCCAGTATTAACTAATTAGGATGAACTCTTGTGGTCATAGTGATGTCTGATTATTCCTTTATTGAAATCGCTTCCTTTCCAACCCGTTCTGATGAATGACACGCTTGCGGTTGCAGGATCTGATGATGCCAAGAAGGCTGCGAATCTGCCTGTTTTGAACTTTCTAACAAGATGCTGTTCCTCCATTAAGTTTTCGAAGCATTAACGTCATTCTAGAGTAGATAATCGCTGCCCTTTCCCTACGATTCTTTTGCAGGACGCGTTGCCTTCCTATGCCACACTGATCACTACGAACCAAACCAACACACTTTCCATTTGAATTTTAATTCCAGACAGGTGTAAGATATTATTTGCATTAGGCTAACTACAACACTTGTGAAAGTAATGATGACAGCAAATAAGTGGCAGCAGCACCGTTGTGTCCGTTGATGAACCTTTTGATTACGACCCCCTCCCAACTCTCATCGGAGCAAATACGACCCCCTGTCGAGGATTTCCTCGACCGTTATTCACCCTGGTACCAGACTGTTGGGAGGATAAAAACACTGACTTGTACATCGGCTGGCCCCCGCAAGTCATTGTATAGGCCACATCGCATTCAAATGCCACTACGAATGTACAAATGGAAGTAGAATGCGTGCCGCATCCCAAAAAGGGATTGATCAACGGCAAATGCTTTATCCTTTTATCCTTTTATACGCCGTAAGAAAAACAAAAATCTCACACACCGATGTTTATTTTCCATGAAATTTTGAATTTAAAAGCATACTGCATTGCAGGTGTCAACATGAAATTTATTGCATATTGAATGTGGTTTTGTTCTCTCTTCGCGAGAGTGCCCTCAAAAGTGCGTTGTGAAAGAAGGTGGGCG